TACAGCAATTATAGCGACTTGATCACTGAACTTTGCAGCTCTCTGCCATAGGCAGACTGTTTGTCGACGAGGGAATAATGCACATGCGCGGTTTTTCTTGGGGAAACATTCTAACTACGCATACTTATGCAGCAGACTCTCGGTCAGAAAGCGTAACGGTCGTACATACAAACAAGCAGAATAATAGTATAGATTCTGTAGTGCTAAATATTTACTGTTATTTTGCTAATTGTTTTTTTTTCTTTCTTTGTCTTTGTTTTATCAGGAGTATGTAGTACCTCATTTGAAGCTTTCAATAAAGCCAGAAAAAGTTTTGGAACAGATGAAGACATCATCTTTGTTTACCAATGACGTCTGCTGGCTGTAGAGTTAAACCTTTTTGATCACCTTGCTAAGCACTCGAGTACAGACTTTGCTTTAAAACTTAACACAGTATAGGGAACTTCATCTGTGCATATCAGTGACTGAATTGATACCTAAACAAAAATAACAGTTTCTTCATTTCAAAAAAAGAAGAAAACTTTCTGAGTGAAAGCTGATCTGTTTTTCTAATGTTGTAGGAAATTAATCTTTGATGGCGGTTTGATCGTAATAAATTCATAACATATATAAAAGGTAACATCACTAGGTCATTATATATTTAGATTTTTGTAATTCTGTATTATTTCACTTAACATTACTGACACAAAATACAAAATGAAATCTCTGTTAAATTTTGCAATAAAAGTTATTCTTAAGTGGCTGTGTTACAGAGGTAATATTGAAAAGGTGTAAATGGTCACAGTCTGAACAAGAAATAGGTTGTAAGTTAACATTAATATCATAATAGGTAGGCAAACAATGATTTATAAGCACAAGGAAAGGTTTTATCAATGGTGAAACATACTACATTTTTTGACAGAACGTTGGTCTGTCTTCATTAGGTATGATAGAACTAAACAATACAAGGTTTATATATCGTTACAAAGACAAAAGACATAGGAATTAAATGTCTTGGAAATGGCATCAGCAGGTGAAAGGATATAAGTAGAGGTCAAGTGTATGAATGGTGAATAGACCTCACCAAATACGGCTGATGTTGCAAGGGCCATTATCACAATTTAGTGAGAGGTCATTTACTATGATGATTTCTATAGTTTCTAAACAGTATTTTTCTTTTGTAATAGTCCCCTGGTGGGACAGCGGTAAGTCTTTAGATTTACAATACCAGAATCAGGGTTCTATTTCCATCAGTGGACACAGCAGATAGCCTGATGTGGCTTTGCTATGAAAAGCAACACACTCTCTTTTATTTTTGGTTGGTGTAGGAGAAGAATTTTGTTCCAAAGTATTTTGTAACCTGTTTTTTTTACAGATGATATGTTAAGGTTGTACCAAATTTCAAAACAGTGTTAACTCTAACCTTTCACCTATCAACAACATAAAACATAAATTTGTTTCATTCCCCTTTTGTGCTAGAAATTGCTAACAAAATTACTAGACTTTTTTAATAATTTGAGCATTGATGTAAAAACTGTATTCAAACCCTCACATAAAATTAGAATTTTACTAGCTAACCCAAAAGAATCCCTGTTAAAAGAACAAAAACAGGGTATATATAGAGTATCAAATGTCACATTCCTTAAAAATAAGATGCAAATAACACCAAGGTCACATGCGTAGAGGTGAATTCCAGTTATCTACCTTAACATATCATCAGTAAGAAACGGGCCACAAAATACTTTGGGATGAAATTCATCTCCCAAAACTAGAAAAGAAAGAGACTGCTTAGAAACTATAGAAATCATAAAATAAACAATCTCTCACTAAACCGTGATAATGGTCCTAGCAACATCAGCCGTATTTGGTAAGGTCTATTCGTCGTTCATTACACTTGACCTCTACTTATATCCTTTCACCTGCTGACACCATTTCCATCACATTTAATCTTTGTGTCTTTTGTTTTTGTAACAATATATAAACCTTGTATTGTTTAGTAATGATTGTACCTGAAGAAGAAAGACCAATGTTCTGTTGAAACATGTTGTATGTTCCACCATTGATAAAACTTTTCCTTATGCCTATAAGTCGTTGTTTGCCAACCTATTATTTTATTAGCATAATGTGCTTCCTTATTCATGTAACATTAATATCAGTTGGTCAGGTATAGATAAATTATATTAAGAACAAAATCGATCAGCCCTGTATGAAAATATTTAGTTGTTTTTCTGAATTTGTAGTGCACACTAGACAAATTTATACATTTTGTCAATGAGATAGAAGATGACCTTTTCTCTCCTGATAATAATAAAAATAACTATTTCAGCCAATGTTTACCCATTATGGCTTCATCAAGGCTAGTAGCACAAGAATTGTTCATATTTTAACTAAATGGGTGCAGATCAGTGCAGCTTAAACTGTGTGCCTAACAGTACATAAGTATGATATCAGTGTTCAGATCACTGACAGACACACTAAATTTCTAAAGCTTTCATGCCTTAAGTCATTCCATGTAAGACAATCTTTATACCAATATAATTTCATGGACATATTTCACTAGTTCTACAAAATTCTGCACTTATGATCGATCCTGATAATACTTTCATGTTATAGTTGGCTGTAACTGAAATAGAATACTTTAGTATCAAACTTGCATGTTTTCTCATGTTTGTGTGTAAGGTATTATCTTTTGAAGACCTCAGACAACTCAAGAAAATGTTTACAGTATCTTATATTCTGACTGGAGAATACATGAGTCCTGACAACATAAATCCAGTTTATATTCTGACTGGAGAATACAAACTTGATGCAATATTTTTTTGTTGTTGTGGATTGGGATCAAGAATCTAGTTTATATTCTGACTGGAGAATACATTAGTCCTGACAACAAGAATGTAGTTTATATTCTGACTGGAGAATATGTTAGTCCTGACAACAAGAATGTCAGGACTAACATATTCTCCAGTCAGAATATAAAATAGATTCTTGTTGTCAGGACTAATGTATTCTCCAGTCAGAATATAAACTAGATTCTTGTTGTCAGGACTAATGTATTCTCCAGTCAGAATATAAACTAGATTCTTGTTGTCAGGACTAATGTATTCTCCAGTTGGAATATAAACTAGATTCTTGTTGTCAGGACTAATGTATTCTCCAGTCAGAATATAAACAAGATTCTTGTTGTCAGGAATAATGTATTCTCCAGTCGGAATATAAACTAGATTATTGTTTTCAGGAATAATGTATTCTCCAGTCAGAATATAAGATAGATTCTTGTTGTCAGGACTAATGTATTCTCCAGTCGGAATATAAACAAGATTCTTGTTGTCAGGAATAATGTATTCTCCAGTCGGAATATAAACTAGATTCTTGTTATCAGGACTAATGTATTCTCCACTCGGAATATAAACTAGATTTATGTTGTCAGGACTAACATATTCTCCGGTCAGAATATAAACTAGATTTATGTTGTCAGGACTAATGTATTCTCCAGTCGGAATATAAACAAGATTCTTGTTGTCAGGACTAATGTATTCTCCACTCGGAATATAAACTAGATTTATGTTGTCAGGACTAACATATTCTCCGGTCAGAATATAAACTAGATTCTTGTTGTCAGGACTAATGTATTCTCCAGTCAGAATATAAACTAGATTATTGTTTTCAGGACTAATGTATTCTCCAGTCGGAATATAAACTAGATTCTTGTCAGGACTAATGTATTCTCCAGTCGGAATATAAACTAAATTCTTGTTATCAGGACTATAATTGAATAATATCCATCATTTTTCAATATTTTAGCTTCTCTTGCCCACACTTTTGTGATCTTCCTTTTAGTTATTGTCACCTACACATTAC